GGGGAAGTCGTGACATCCCCGCACCGATCGATGGCGAACACGAGGATCGCCAACGAACACCCCGAGGATCGCCAACGAACACCCCGGGAGTGGAGGGAGGGACAAAATTTTCCGGCCCTTTGGCCAGGGTGCAGCTACCCACCCATCCCACCCCTGTCTCGAGGCGGCGCGGGAAATAAAAGAGATGAACTCAGACGATTCAAAGCATGCATTCATGCCATGAAATGTGGTTCAAACTAAAGCAAAGGCGTTTTGAAAACTTCGCAGTAATTTTCAAAACTCTCCTAGGAAAATAAAGCTAATAGAGGCAAGCCTCATGTGTCGCTTATTTTCCACGGAGCTTTGCTTTATTTCTGAGGTAAGATTCCAATCATAGTATTCCCAAGCTATATGGGAAAATCAAAGTATATAAAGAATAAGAAAATTGCTCAAGCAGATGTGGCGCTTTTTCCTTCCGGCAAAGCCGAAGGGGGAAGTCGTGACATCCCCGCACCGATCGATGGCGAACACGAGGATCGCCAACGAACACCCCATCCACTTAAGAAGGAGATCAATCGTGGCATTGCCTTTGATCGGGCATCGAGGCGACACTCTGCACACCTGCCCCCTGACTGGAAAGATTGACTTAGCTCTCGAAGGAGGATCGGCCGGATTACTTGCACTTGGAACGCGGCTAAACCAAGGAAGCATCGCCTCTGCGTCGCAGCTCTCAAAGATCAGCAAGAGTTGCCTCCACAAAGGGTCTTTCGAAGAGCCCTTCACCAAAGAGGCCAACACTCCGGAGTGATCCACATACATGGTCACCCTTTGCATGTCCAAGTGCTTCGCCCAAGCTTCTCTCGCACATACCACTGCATACATCTCAACTGGGCCTATCAAATGCCTTTTCCCGAGAGCCTCCCAGCTCTGTACAACGCTCAAAGGGATAGCACATGCAAAGAAGAAAGTGCACCACGCGCCGTTGTCGAAATGGTACAAGACTCCTCCGACAGTGGCGGGGTGAGTTTCACTCGTCGGCTCGTACGCTCCATCTGTGAAAATCACAGAACGACGAGACCCCACACAAGCCGGGACTATCCTAGGGGTACCCCCAAGAACCCGGGACCTAAGATTACAAAGGGCCTGCACAGCCGTGGCATCAAGGGTTTTGGCCTGAGAACTCATCGTGCACGCCCTGAGGTCGGCCAGTGCCAATCTGCCCAATCGCCCGTGAAGCTGACCCTCTGCAAACTGCAAGCGACCGAACAATGATGGCAGAGTCTTCGGATCAAGATGGCCCGCTTTCAAGACGGAGTCCACTGCGTCAGCAATGGAAGTTGCACGTTCGGGCTTATTCCCAATCTTAACTACCCCAAAGCAACCAAGGTCAACCCGAACGCCTAAAAGCTCAGCCTCATGGCTGAAGGGAAGATCCTTATCTTCTGCCCATGTGAAACCCACCAGGTCCAGCACAGCTCTGATAGTTGACTGCGTGTTGTTGCAAAGCGGCAGGACCTCCAACACCGGATAGTCGTCGAAGTAGTTGCAGGCGAGCACCTGCAAGGCAACCAGAACCCTTTGGAGCAGTCTTGCAACGCGATTGAATGAGACCACCGACGAGGTGGCCCCAAACAGAAGGGTTCGGCTCTCGAAGCCAAACGCAAGCCCCGAGACCGGGTCCTTGATGGCCACTATGCTCAGACAGCGGTCTCGTGGAGAAACCGCCAACTGTTTATAAGCACTCTTCAAGTCCACTGTTTTCAAGCTCGGCTGAAGCGCCTCGGGTTTCAGGGCCCTCCAGAAAGAATGCACCGGAAAGCGAAGATGGTCACCGTCCGACAACGGGATGCTCACCTCGCCTTTTGCAAGGAAGATCTTGAAGAGGGTGATCGCAAGCCAGACCAACTCGTCAAGGGCCCTCAAAGAAATCCGATCGGAAACAGCGTAAGCGCAGTTTACAGAGTTCTCGGCCAAATCGTCGATCGACCTCGTCTTGGCTTTTTGCACAATGCCGAACCTCCGCACTGGAAGCCAGCCTTCTGGGTGACGGGCTTGCAGCTCGTCCCACGAGTAAGGCCCGGTTAGCCACTCCTTGACTAGCATCTCTTGCTGTGTGGAATCCCACACTTCCCGAGCTAAATCATCCACCTCCGCATTCGCCACCTTCGCCCACAGCGCAGGCCTAAGGAATTTAGCATGCTGCACAAGCTCTGCCCTTGTCATCAGAGCCGGCTTTCTGTCCACGTCGAAGATGCCAGAAGGACTCGACTCCCCCACCAAAGGAAAACCATGCTTAAGGTGTTCGAAGACTTCAGTGTCAGGCCATCCGAAAGACGATGCAATTTTTTCCAAAAGCAAAATATTCTTGCCCTTCATAACAGAAGCCACACCAGGATCCATGGCAGCATGCAGCTCTGCTTCGGCACCAGCCAAATCGCGTTTCCAAGAAGTCCACTGCTGGAGCAAATTCAGACGGTGCTTCATCACACCAACCGGGCCCTCTTTCAAGGTAAAAGCCAACGCTCTCAACATGAAGTCTGGGACTGCCACGCACAAGTCGAAGGGATGATCGATATGCAATGCCTGAGCCACAAACTCTTGTTCCGTGCGGTAAATGCCAAAGGTAACTGCTGAAGGCACACCTGACAGGCTTCCGACCTGTTTCGCACCGACGACCCCCCGATCACACACAACGCGAAGAAGGCGGGAGCCAGGAGGGATCGACCCTACGGCACAGGTGAGATTGCCCTTATTATCCAAAGGAAGGGGCCACGGAAACTCACGGACCGTGGCTTGGCACTTAAACTCGGCGATCTGCGGCTGGAATTTTGACAATCGCGGCTGCCGCCCAGCGGCTGCGACGGCAGAATGCCGCGAACTCTGCAGTGGAAGAGCATGCTCAAGTAAGAGGCCAGATTGGCCAACCGCCAGCTGCAGGAGGCCAGCAAACACATCACAGAATTTCGAAGTGTACAAGGCATCTGGCGAAAGCGAGCCCGCAACATGGGGCCCGGGGCGACAACGACATGCTGGCACCGGCATGCCAGCCAGCGCGGCCTGGGTTGTGCACAGACGCATTTTGACAGGACTGGGAGCCCCGTAGCAACCTGCACAGAAGTCCACGCAATGGAGGTTGTCGGGCAAGTCGAGCTGTTTCCACAGGACTGACGCCAGGGGATGCAAGACACTCCAATGCGAATCAGATGCAAGCAAGAGTTTGGCGATGCGAATGGTTTGCCGGCGCAAAAAGTAGCCTTGAAACAATCCTTGGTCGCAGGAAAGAAATGCACGTGAAAAGGGGCATCGTGGCTGATGACAGTCTGCACAAAGGAGAAACCCGACTCCGTTTCAATGTCCACCGGGACAAGGTGAGTGTGCACTCGCCCAGCGGGGCGAGAATGTTCAAGCGCTATGATTTGAAATCCGTCCCGCCGCACCCGAGCCGGCAGCAATCCGGACCCACACTTTATCTCGACATAGAGAGCAGAACCGGGCTTCAAGGGACTAGCAGGGTCGCTCACAGGTTCCTTAGGGTCAACGGCGGGGACAACCGAAGCGGGCAAGGGCCTAAGCGACTCCTGAGCTGCGGGGGAGGTCAAGGATGGCGGCTGACGAGCACACGCTTCAGCAGGCGCCAACCGCGCGCCCTCGGGCGCGCATTCCGGAACATCAACATGACACTCGCGGAGAAAGTCAAGATGTTCCTTGCACAGCGATTCGACATGACGGATGGTGAATGCAACCAGCAAGACTCTACGGCCCTGCCACGCCTCGGTGTAGTGCCAATTGTGTCTGGCATTGAATCGGACAGGGCCCTTAGCAACCTGCAAGCGAGAGCCTCGTGCACCATTAAGGTCGGATACGTCTCGACCGTTTTCATGCTCCACAAAGATAGCTCCACCTGAGAAGTCAGTCAGTGCAATCGCCAAGTTATGCAAGTTGGCATTCCACTGATCTCGATGGCGCTCAGTGCGAACATCCTCAAATATATTTATCGAAGAAAACTTAAACCCCGGAGCACGCTGTCTCACAAACCTTGCAAAGACTTTGAGCGCCTCCGGGTTGGCTGAGGCATTGTCCTTCAGGCCTACATTACCACCAAGAACATACGCTCCCGTGGCATAAGATTTCGAAGTTGGGAGAGGTGCATCGGCACCCCTCTTCAAGGCATCCGAAGGAAGACCATCGAAAACCCGCAGAACATCGGCGGCACTCACATGGCCCTCGTCATGTGAAGAACCTCTCTGCGACTGTGCCCCATCACGGGGCCTCGGGGACCTGCTGCGTGCGGCCTCCACCACACCTGGTGATGGCCTGGAGATGGCACTGTGAGAGCCAACGTTGTGCATGTGATGATCCTCTCGATCAACACCTGACTGCAGACGACACTCCACACCACTCGGAGGAGAGCCGCCGGCGCATGCATTGCTCGGCCGATGAACTCCCTCTAGGAGATCATCCACCTGTGAGGCTCCCGCTGCCGGCTGATGCACACTCTCTGGAGCACCGGCCATCAGCGACGCACCCTCGTGACCCGCTAGTCACGAGCCACCCTGAGCCCGCTTTGGGCACTGCGCTGCACCATGATTGTGAGCACCGCACTTAGGCACTGCGCAAATGTGCAGGCCTTTCTCGCACTTCTGCCCTTTGGTAGGGCAGCCTCCCAGATTGAATGCAAAACAGATTGGGTCACCACGATTGGTGTGAGACCTGCAGCCCTCCAGGCCGGCGGGCAACCTTGTCATGAACCTCTGCTTACCTTTCTTTCCTTTGCCTCCACCTTTGTTGTAAGGAGAAGGCCTCTCCCACTTGGGAGCATCCGGCTTCTGGGGAACATCTTTTAGGGCAGGGGCCGGAAAAGGTTGCAATAAACATGACACTTCGTTCATGTACATCGCATCTGGCAGAAGTGTGTCCAACGGGCGACCCGATGCGACAGTCTGCACTCCTGCCCTGGTCTTATCACGAAGCTCGGCAAACAGCTGCCGATCTGCCGACTCAAGTTGCTTCCAAGTGGGCCTGGCAAAATGCTCCGCAGGCGCTTGCATGCGGGCCTTCATCAAGCGTTGAGTCCACTTATCAGCAACACTGAACTCGATCAGGTTCGCCTGATCCATGGCCAAAGCTCTCCTGGTGAGAGCCTGCTGAACAAGAATCTCCGATGAAGTATCCGCAACCAGATCAGGCTGTTTGTGCTCGATCCGAAGCTTTCCCGAAGACTCCTCAACAGTGAACCTGACATCGCGTTTCTTCTCGCCAGCCAGTTCAGCTTCCTTGGACACACACCGGTCCCACGGAATGTACCTCAGCTCATTTGCCTCATAGGAAGCCACAGCAAGATCAACAAGTGCATCGGCAGGCTCCAGAGGCCCTTTCAGTGAAATCCCGACAAGCTTCTTGGCCTGCCGCTCGTACCTCTCAGACCTCTCAGGCTGAGACAAAGGCCTGACGGTCGACTCTGGGTCGGCCTTCTCAATCCTCTGCTTCATTTCCGCGGTCACAATGGCAAAAGCTTCATTGTAAACCGCACGCCAATTAGCCTTGTCTGCAATTGTCAAGTCTCGCTTCAGAATGTCTTTCAACACCTGCATCAGCGGCCCCTCGTCAGTCTGGCCAGGTGTGAAAGAAGAAATGAACGCCAGCCTCCTCAAGTTTCCCACCTCTGGCAGGATTTTCTGAACGTCATCTTCTGCGAAACCCACGACACTCAATCGCGACTGCAGAACCGATTGACTCTCAGAGTAGTTAGCCATCGTCAGGAGCAGGAACCGAGCTAGTGAAACTCCTACAAATTGCTGAAAGTCCTCAGAACACTCTCGAATCCGCACCTCGTGGCCTGAGCTCTGACTTACCAGGTTCAAGCACAGACTTCCTAAGACTGAGCCGACTTCTCATGAACGCGATGCTTGCTTCCGACTGATGCATGTCACTCGAAAACTACAAATCGCACACACTCCTGGAAGCACTCAGCCTAAGCGCGCAACGCACAGAAACTCAGAAACTCCTTTTCACTGCACTCCTCAGCATCACTTCTTAGGCGGGCAACAGCTTCGACACAGCGGAAACAAAATTCGAGGAACGGAAGACAACCTTTCATACCTGGTCGATATGCTTCTTCCGCATCTGAACTTGTCGCCTTCTTCGGATGCGACAGCATGGATGAAACGGCTGTCTCTGTTCCTGAACAAAGGGACTGCTTCAAGCTCGGCACGCAAGCCTGCATCGGGCTCCCATTGCCTTCCCAATTCGTCGGTGGCCGCCTCCGCAGCTACATGATCGACATCCTCGGCATCCTCGCTGGCCTCGGAAGAAGATTCCGACAAGACCTCCTCAGGAGGAATGGGCATCCCCTCTGGATCTTCAAAGCGCTTCACGAAGTAACCGGACCTGGTGGCGTCCGGCATGAACCTTTCGCGCGACACCTCGAGCAGAACCCCTTGCAGCTGGCGCACAGGAGCAGACATGTTGTCTCTCCCATAGATGAGCTCGGTCCCATCACGGCCCCTGGCGTGGTAGCCTAGGGCCGCTCTCACCTCACGGGATAGTCCGAATTTGGCGCTCCAACTCAAGGTCGTTGCCTTGAGACTATGCGTCCCAAGCGGTTCAACGGAAGACCTGTCGCAACCCGCACGGATCAAGAGTGACTTCATCCATTTCGTGGCACTCGCCACCGCCAGCGGCGATGTTTGCCACCCTCCGCCAGAGAGCGGGCTCGGAAGCAAGGGCTTGCCCGACCCCAAAGGAGGCCCATGCTCCTTATAGAACTCAAACCACTTGACACCCCAGGGCACCTCACCTATACCTTGGATGGGAGCAAACATGTGCAAATACCTGACCTTTCTTTCCAGAGAGAACGAAGTCTTGCTTCGCTCAACAGCGGACTCCAGGTATCCGACTGTGCCGTCCGGCGTGTCGCTTAAGTCACAAGTCATTGCACCTGCAGCTTGGGCATCCGAGTACCTCGCTCGTGCATACAAGGTCCACACGAAGAAGCCAGCAGCGACCCGGTCTGAAGGCTCTAGCACGATCGAGCCGGAAGCGATGGCCTCCAGTTTCCGCACATGATCAACTTTGAGCGACGGCTTCTGCCGAGTCTTCCTCTTTTCAAGATACAGCTTCGACGACAGCCCACGGACCCTGGGGCTGAAGACTTCATCACTCACTTTCAAGCTCACAGTGAACTTTGCAAAAGCAAGGCTGCTCAAGAAACTCCTGGCGAAAGTGGGCGCCTCGTGAGATGCATAATCCTGTAGGAAAGCATAGATCCCTGCTTCAGTGACAGGGAAAGGAACAACCTGGCAACTTCGGCAGTGCTTGATGTACCTGGCAAGGGGCCCAGCACGGCCTGAGATCGTGACACTCGCCTTTTGGGAAAACACATCTTGCAAAGACGACTTCAAGTCAGAGTCTCGCCCGTTCTCCTTATCTAGCCGAATCGACAAAGAAAGACCGAAATCGTCGGGGAACCTTTCAAGAATCCCTAGCCACTTTGCCAAAGCTGCTTCCCTCGCCTCAGAGAGTTTCTGATCCCAGCTTTGTCCCGGCACACTCGGAATCTTCACTCCAGCAAGCCTGAGTGACTCAAGCTTTCCCGAAGACGACTTCACCGGCCCTGCGGAACCGGCCGGCCCCACTGGCGCTGACACAATGCATCCCCCTTTGGCGAAAGGCGAGGGCAAAGCGGGCATGTCAAGAAATGTAGAAGCTATTTCCCACGGCATCTTAACTGTGCTTCCAAGCCCTCGGGATGCAACACGCGTAGCTGACACATGGTGACCCTCATAAGCCCCATGCACGCGAGCCTTCTTGAGGCTACTTTCAAGAGAGTCGTCCCCTGCCATGCTGGCTGCAAACTCGGCCTCGTCAGGCCAGCATGGCAAACGCTACACCCCACTACAAAATTTTCCGGCCCTTTGGCCAGGGTGCAGCTACCCACCCATCCCACCCCTGTCTCGAGGCGGCGCGGGAAATAAAAGAGATGAACTCAGACGATTCAAAGCATGCATTCATGCCATGAAATGTGGTTCAAATTAAAGCAAAGGCGTTTTGAAAACTTCGCAGTAATTTTCAAAACTCTCCTAGGAAAATAAAGCTAATAGAGGCAAGCCTCATGTGTCGCATAACTCTGCACAGCTCAAGAAGTCCTGTTCAGATCTGGTGGAGATACCTTCCAGAAAATTCCGCCGCTCTTGTATGATCTGTTCCGGCCGACCTTCTCGATACCATAACTCTGCATGGCTTGATCTGCTCTGTTCAGAAATGCAGAGTCACCTCTGCAACAATTTCCCTGTCTTTGTACGATCTCAAAGCTGCACAGTTATGAGGCTGTCGGGCGACCCCATTTTAAGGCCCGCAAAACACAAGCAATTCTGGCTTCGCCAGGTCGGCCCTCCACAGTTGCATTCCGCTGGCTGCAGCACTTTTAAGGGCGAGCACAAAGCTGCTTTGGACAAGTTCCGACCTTCCAAACGGTCCTCCACCAGACGCTCCCCAAAGTCAATACAATCAATGACATGCGCAGCTGACGAGATTCAGCCGCTGTGGGTGCAGGAATCAAACTTGCGACCCCAAAACTGGGGCCGTCTCGCGGCCCCAGAAAAGGAGCCGCGAAATGCAGCCAACCTCCTTTAACATATTTTGACTGGCAACTAGAGGACCCCAAAATCGGGGCCGCTTGGCGGCCCCTATTTTGGGGTCACGAATTCCTATTCTGGGGCCCAAACCCAAGCCCGTACGTTCCAAACTGCTACATCAAGGCGACCCGCCCACAGGCAGGCATCCAGTGTGGAAAAATCATTCTCCAAGAACAAGAATTTCCAACAGACAGCTTGCCGGTGGAAGTGATAAACATGAGAGAACAGAGGGGGGCCACTCAAGCGAAGCCAAAATTGCTTGGATTGTTCGACCCCACATTTGGAGCCACGTGTGCTGCAGTTGGTCCGCACCCAAAGTGGACGTCGGCGGCACTGGTGGCCGAACAGGCGTTCCAGACACAGCAGCAAGAACACTTCCACCTTTGAGCTGCAGGCGGACTCATAGGACAAGCAGGATCTGGTCTAAACAAGTCAAAGTCAATGTCTTTCTCGGCACAGGTACCTTCTGGGAGAACCTTCAACTCCAACCTTGTACGGGTGAGCTGCGGCGCTTGACAGCTCTCAGAAGTCTGCTACCAAAAAAAAAGAGTGGGCAGCACTCGATTTTTTTCTTGAGCTGACAGCATACGAAAGGAAACGAGACAAAATGAGTGTGGTCAGTAATCTGACTCAAGCAGCACTTCTAACAGTTTGAAGCAGACTGAAAAACACCAAAAATCAAATGCCAGTTGACACAAACAGCGTCCTGCTCGTCCACATGTTTCCAGAAATTCAGAAACCACCACGGGCCTGTGTGCGGGGGAGGAGACGGGTCTGTGTTGCGCGGGGTGCGGAATTGCTGAGCAACGCCTGTGGTTTGTGACAGCCGAATGCACCTCCTGCGCAAAGAGACACGCAACCATGAAGCAATAAAAGACTCCGATTACACGATGGAATTGACTCAAAGAGCAAAAAGGGAAATTGAAGTAGAGGTGCAACCTCGACAGCGAAAAGTGCAGTTCGAACTGTTCTTTTTGAGGGAACGCAACAACCGGTCTGGCAGCAAATGCAAGGCAGAGGCAAGAAATTGCAAATGGGTCTCTGCTAGTTCGAACTGTTCTTTTTGAGGTAACGCAACAACCGGTCTGGCAGCAAATGCAAGGCAGAGGCAAGAAATTTGCAAATGGGTCTCTGCTAAAAGAGCAAAAAAAATCTGGCGAGAGCCAGGTGAGCCCATGTCGTGCATGAGGGGGTTTTGGAGTTAAGCACCGTGCACAAATTCCGAACCGTCAGCCACACCTCTCGATACCATAACTCTGCACAGCTCAAGAAGTCCTGTTCAGATCTGGTGGAGATACCTTCCAGAAAATTCCGCCGCTCTTGTATGATCTGTTCCGGCCGACCTTCTCGATACCATAACTCTGCATGGCTTGATCTGCTCTGTTCAGAAAGGCAGAGTCAACATCTGCAAAACAATTTCCTTCTTTGTACGATCTCAAAAGCTGCCCAACGTTATTGAGGCTGTCGGGGAACCCCATTTTTAAGGGCCAGCAAAACACAAGCCAATTTCTGGGCTTTTAGCCCAGGTCGGCCATCACAGTTGCATTCGCGGATGCAGCAGATTTTAAGGGCGAGCACGAAGCTGATTTTGGGAAAATTCCGACCTCTCCAAAACGGTCTCCACCAGACGCTCCCCAAGTTCAATACAATCAATGAATGCGCAGCTGACGAGATGTTCAGCCGCGTGGTGCGGAATCAAAAATTGCGACCCCAAAACTGGGCCGTCTAGCCGTGGGCCCCAGAAAAGGAGCCGACGAAAATGCAGCAACCTCCTTTAACATATTTTGACTGGCAACTAGAGGACCCCAACATCGGGGCCGCTTGGCGGCCCCTATTTTGGGGTCACGAATTCCTATTCTGGGGCCCAAACCCAAGCCCGTACGTTCCAAACTGCTACATCAAGGCGACCCGCCCACAGGCAGGCATCCAGTGTGGAAAAATCATTCTCCAAGAACAAGAATTTCCAACAGACAGCTTGCCAGTGGAAGTGATAGACATGAGAGAACAGAGGGGGGCCACTCAAGCGAAGCCAAATTGCTTGGATTGTTCGACCCCACATTTGGAGCCGCGTGTGCTGCAGTTGGTCCGCACCCAAAGTGGACGTCGGCGGCACTGGTGGCCGAACAGGCGTTCCAGACACAGCAGCAAGAACACTTCCACCTTTGAGCTGCAGGCGGACTCATAGGACAAGCAGGATCTGGTCTAAAAAAGTCAAAGTCCATGTCTTTCTCGGCACAGGTACCTTCTGGGAGAACCTTCAACTCCAACCTTGTACGGGTGAGCTGCGGCGCTTGACAGCTCTCAGAAGTCTGCTACCAAAAAAAAGAGTGTGCAGCACTCGATTTGTTTCTTGAGCTGACAGCATACGAAAGGAAACGAGACAAAATGAGTGTGGTCAGTAATCTGACTCAAGCAGCACTTCTAACAGTCTGAAGCAGACTGAAAAACACCAAAAATCAAATGCCAGTTGACACAAACAGCGTCCTGCTCGTCCACATGTTTCCAGAAATTCAGAAACCACCACGGGCCTGTGTGCGGGGAAGGAGACGGGTCTGTGTTGCGCGGGGTGCGGAATTGCTGAGAAACGCCTGTGGTTTGTGACAGCCGAATGCACCTCCTGCGCAAAGAGACACGCAACCATGAAGCAATAAAAGACTCCGATTACACGATGGAATTGACTCAAAGAGCAAAAAGGGAAATTGAAGTAGAGGTGCAACCTCCGACAGCGAAAAGTACAGTTCGAACTGTTCTTTTTGAGGGAACGCAACAACCGGTCTGGCAGCAAATGCAAGGCAGAGGCAAGAAATTGCAAATGGGTCTCTGCTAGTTCGAACTGTTCTTTTTGAGGGAACGCAACAACCGGTCTGGCAGCAAATGCAAGGCAGAGGCAAGAAATTTGCAAATGGGTCTCTGCTAAAAGAGCAAAAAAAATCTGGCGAGAGCCAGGTGAGCCCATGTCGTGCATGAGGGGTTTTGGAGTTAAGCACCGTGCACAAATTCCGAACCGTCAGCCACACCTCTCGATACCATAACTCTACACAGCTCAACAAGTCCTGTTCAGATCTGGTGGAGATACCTTCCAGAAAATTCCGCCGCTCTTGTATGATCTGTTCCGGCCCACCTTCTCGATACCATAACTCTGCATGGCTTGATCTGCTCTGTTCAGAAATGCTAGAGTCGCCTCTGGCAAAAATTCTCTGTCTTTGTACGATCTCAAAGCTGCACAGTTATGGGGCTGTCGGGCGACCCCATTTTAAGGCCCGCAAAACACAAGCAATTCTGGCTTCGCCAGGTCGGCCCTCCACAGTTGCATTCCGCTGGCTGCAGCACTTTTAAGGGCGAGCACAAAGCTGCTTTGGACAAGTTCCGACCTTCCAAACGGTCCTCCACCAGACGCTCCCCAAAGTCAATACAATCAATGACATGCGCAGCTGACGAGATTCAGCCGCTGTGGGTGCAGGAATCAAACTTGCGACCCCAAACTGGGGCCGTCTCGCGGCCCCAGAAAAGGAGCCGCGAAATGCAGCCAACCTCCTTTAACATATTTTGACTGGCAACTAGAGGACCCCAAAATCGGAGCCGCTTGGCGGCCCCTATTTTGGGGTCACGAATTCCTATTCTGGGGCCCAAACCCAAGCCCGTACGTTCCAAACTGCTACATCAAGGCGACCCGCCCACAGGCAGGCATCCAGTGTGGAAAAATCATTCTCCAAGAACAAGAATTTCCAACAGACAGCTTGCCGGTGGAAGTGATGACATGAGAGAACAGTTGCATTCCGCTGGCTGCAGCACTTTTAAGGGCGAGCACAAAGCTGCTTTGGACAAGTTCCGACCTTCCAAACGGTCCTCCACCAGACGCTCCCCAAAGTCAATACAATCAATGACATGCGCAGCTGACGAGATTCAGCCGCTGTGGGTGCAGGAATCAAACTTGCGACCCAAAAACTGGGGCCGTCTCGCGGCCCCAGAAAAGGAGCCGCGAAATGCAGCCAACCTCCTTTAACATATTTTGACTGGCAACTAGAGGACCCCAAAATCGGGGCCGCTTGGCGGCC